TTGAGTCAGTGCCTAATCACTGTCAGTGTCTGATTATGAACAGTTAGAACTTCCCTGTAACATCCAACATCATAGCCTGACGTTTACAACACTGCTGTCTAGCTGTTGGGTTTTACACACAAAAATCCATACAGTGTTTTTGAGAATCAATACAATATCACTAAAATAATATCGCAATATGATATTTTTCTATATTTTCTTACACCCCTAACATCATGTTCGCTTCATGTTCATGTTCAGAATTTGGTTTTCTGGGGTCTGACACTGTATCTGGTTATTCTTATCTCTCTCTGTATACATGACCACAACTGTATGATTTCTGAAAGCAGGATATGGTGTTAGTGCACAACACATAATCAGAACACTAGTGCACCTGTAAACACTCTCATTATGGATTCTAAAATTCACTTACAAAATAAGATAAAATCATGTGCCTACTGATAATGTACAGTATTCTTCTTTATCTGATGGTTAGGTGGGCTGAAAAGAAGTTGAAAATAAGCAGACATCAATCACGTGTACAAAAAACAGACCCTTCAGTTGAAAGGAAAGGGACTTTTTTTGCGTCACTGCTATGGAAACATCTTACAAAAGGATTTAAGACTGATTATGAAACTTGACTGTCTTAATACCTCAGTGATCACAAAACAGCATCATCAGCGTCTGACATCATTTGTTTGTGTGTGTGTGAGGGAGAGAGAGAGAGATTTCCTGCTGTGTACCTTCCTCTGGTTGCCTGCCAACCACAAGATGATGATGATGATGACTGAGAGAGGGAGAGAGAGATGCATGAGAGGAGATGGGGCGAGAAAATGACAAATAAAGAACAAGAGTGGCTGATGGGAGTGTCCACCTGTGTCCAATTAGCTTGCAGTGTGTGTGTGCCTTCTACGTGAGTACCCTTGAGGGTTCAAGTGCGGTTTTGAGTGTGTATGTGCATGTGTGTGTCTTTGTGCACAAAGTGTGTGAGTGTATTCTTCCAGGTGAGTGCACTTTTTTGTTTGTTTGGGAGCGTGTTTGTCTGTGTGTATTATGCAATGACTCGCCTTGCATGTCAACAATTCTGTGTGTGCATACATAAATCGATGCTAGTGTGTATCATACTGTGCAGTAACTGACTCAGTCAATGCAGTGTTACTCTAGTTTATCTAGTGTATGTGTAGAGTGTATGTATTTGTGCAAGTGTGTGTATGAAAGTGTGTGCTACTGCAGTACCTGATACTGCTTCCAGGAAGTCCATCTGCGTCATCTGAGGGACTCCCGAGCTCTCTGATTGGATCTTTACCTCCCTATTAGTGCGCTCAGGATTACATTGATTGTCTGCAGCGTGATGACAAACAACCCCCCCTCTGCCTGTTTACATTAGTTCAGTCCTCTGTGGGCTGCACTAAGTGTCTGGAAACAGCCTGGGCCAAACCAATCTTTAGAGAGGCTGGGGGGTTGATGTTGTTATCAATGCCTGCACTGTGCTGCATCCAAAATGCAGTCTTTAGGGGGGGCTGCAGGACTCATCTATCATTCACTAAGTTTTGTTTTGATTTCAGTTGATCCGGCCACATATTTCCTGGGTTTTCAAAGATAATTGTGTGTGTGAACTTTGTGGGCAGATAGTTGTCGTGCTCTGGAGAGAGGCTTGCTGTAGTGAAAGGCTATTGTGGCTAGTGTCAGAGTGAGTCATAGTGAAACAGGCAACGGTTGGGTTAGAGATTTAACCCATTATCAATAGGTTTAGATTTCCTCTATGTATACTGTTAATTGACTAATAAAAGATCATCTTCAAATAATGACCAATTTCCGAATAGCAAAAACATTAAGCTAACATTTAACAAATGGCAAACAAGGGTGCCCGGTTAGCTCAGTTGGTAGAGCTGGCGACCCATATACAGAGTTACTGCAGTGGCCCGGGTTCAAATCCGACCTGTTGCCCTTTGCTGCGTGTCATCCCCTCTCTCTACCCACCTTTCCTATCGATCTTCAGCTGTCTCTATCCAATAAAGGCATAAAAAGGCCAAAAAAATAACTTTAAAAAAACAAAAACAAATGGAAAACATTGCTATTTTATGGTCTAGAACATATTTCATGCAAGGACCCCCACAATAGATGCACATAAGACAGTCCCTCCAGGATTGTTGCTGCCTAAAATGCCTTATTTCACGGCAGCTTTTCTAAAGATTGTGATGCATATTGCGATGTTTTTAGGCATTTTCTTGCAAATAGTTGCACATTTCTTTGGTATATTTCATTAAAAAACAAAGGCAGCTTGTTGTAGACTAAAATCGCTAGTAGTTCGGTGACGAATAACTCAGTATTTTGTGCTGAGAAACTACATTGATTGGTCATATTTGTGGAAAGGTTGCATCGATTGGACAAAATTGGAAGGTCGCGGAGAATTCACAGGGATTGTTTGAATTTGCATTAATTCTTGGAATCACTTAGACCACAGACCCCCCAGTCTGAGACGATTGTGTGTTATGGAATCCCTATAAATTATAATCACTCAATCAGAATGACCAACCCTATTTCTTCCCTGGTTTCAACTCACAAAAATGTGCTAAAAGTTCAAATATTGTATTCATCCTTTTGCTGAGGACCCCATACAACCCACTCAAGGACCCCTGTTGGTCAGCAGATCCCAGAGTGAAAACCATTAGCCTAGAACACGAGACATAAGAAGAATGTGTGCTTATCTCATATTTGTTTACAAGTGGCCCGAACTATTTCTTTACTTAAAACATGTATACAAACATTTCATGAATGAGGCCCATTGTTTCACATGATAAATTCAGCATATTGTATCATGTCATAACATTCTCACCCTGTGCTGCTCTGAGTTTCCTCTTTTTGGTAGAAATAAAGTTATTCTCTAACTAATTGCAGTTGGCCGTATTTGGATATTTGGCATTAAGCTGCTGCTCAGCACTTCCTGCAGATGTCTTGCATTGAAAGCTACCAGAAAAGGAAAAGAATTATACAGTTTGTATACAAGTTTGTGTTGTATTTTATTGATAGCATCTTTTCCTGCAATTCAGGTCCATAATTAATTTGGTAAAGCAACTAAAAATTGACAAGGAAGCATCTGCTCCAACCAATATTTACCTCTCTCTCAGCCTGTAAATAAGGGCCACTACAGTGTACAGTATAGAGCTATTGGCAACCTGGGAATATGCACAAACATCCTGTTGTTATGCAACACAAGGAGCCATTTTATCAAACCATACCAAACCTTTTGTGTTTAGAATTGTGAAACTGGTGTAGTGCTCCTCTTCTAGTCATAGATTTATATATACACACACACACACACACACACACACGGACACACACACGCACACACACACGCACACACGCACACACAGTCCTATTGAGTTTAGAGGATTATGGTAATGGACAGAGGGAGGCAGAGTGTTTAAAGGTCAGCCTGTCCAACAGGAGAATAGTCCTCTAAACAAAACATCTCTCCACCCACCGGTCCTTAACATACCTTCAGAGGCCACTTCTCTCTCTTTGTGCCTCCTTGTGATTGATACCAAGCACTAATAAAACTGTGAGGCTTTTGTTTAGGAGAAGAGTGGAATTTTGTGTTGCATAATGCTGACAGCTGCATGTGCTGCAGCTAATACAGAATATCATTTTTTTAATGCAAATTGTTCCTGCATTTGTCAGGTGGTAGAACCGCTCACGTTCACGAGAGTTTGAGAACAGATGAGTTCTGGACCAATTCTGCTGATGACTCATACACTTTCAAACGTTCTCTCTTAATTTACAGCTCGCTAAACCCCACCCACCTTATTCAGCGTCGCTACAACTGTCATGCTTTCAGTGCTCAGAAAGGCAGGTGACAGTGGAAGATGAACTGCTTTACATTCTTGCTGTTTTTGAAACAATTCGTCCTTGATTTAAGACAAAAGAATATTTCTAGCTAGTGACCGTCAATTTTAGTGACTGAAATGACTGTTGCTGGATTTGATCAGATGTAGCAAATAAAGCCAATGTTGGCTACATTAGTTGTTTTAAAACACTCTAACCCAGTGGTTCCCAACCCCTTTTATATCTATAATCTATCTATAATTATCTATATATTTAGTAAACTGACATATTTTAGTGACATATTTTATGGATTTCATGTTATATTCAACCCACATAGTGAGCTCAATAACTGCAAGATGTTTGTGTGAAAGGAGTGATTTGGATGAATTTTGAGCAGATTATTTCCTGTTTATGGAACTTTTTATACAATTCTATGTATTATGTATTTTTTAACAATCATACAGACTTAATAGACAAATTTTGACAAATTAATTATTTTCTTCTCCCTGACGCTTGGTCATTGTTCTATTAGACAACTTACTTTACAAATTTCTTTACATTTACATTTCTTCACAGAAGTGAACCAAATGCTCATTAATGTTTCTAGCTGACTTGCTTTAAAAAGTGAATCTTTATTCCCTTGATAACTATGCACATGATATTGTGCTAAAATACTGTGGCTCATGTCCCAAAGTAGGAAAGTCAAAGTCACCATCCTCACCTGCTGATGATCAGTAGTAGATAGCATTGTTCCTGTAGAGCTAGTCCTTGTATATTATTATACAGTATTTTGTTTAATATTACGCTGCTGTTCCGTTCTAGAATATCCTTGTTTGGCTGCTTATGGACGTGTTTACAGCAGCTAATGCTACTTCAGGTATTTGGCCAGATCCCAAATCCAAAAAGGAGCACACAGACCCGCTAACATCCACACTCTGATAGCAGGGCCGGAAGATACTACACACTGGATGTGAACATCATCAAACAGCCTTTTAAGTAACGCTAGTTTTCTACTGTATGTAAGCTAGTTAGCTGGACATGCTAACAATTGCATCTTTCATTTTAGCTGATAGAAGCACTTAAATCTATTTACTGCTCTTCTGTTCTTGTGTTTTTGGTTATGGGAAGGCTAAAAAAACACTTTTTATTGCTTTAAAGATGGGATTGAGTTCTGTATATATGCTTTGTCTCCCCAGGACCCCAGGTTCAATGCTGAGGTGGACTTGATCACAGGTTACAAAACCCAGAGCATCCTTTGCCTGCCCATCAAGAACCACAGAGACGAGGTAAGACAGTGCACCTCGCATCCAGTACAGCTTGTGTTTAAAAAAAACACTTTTTAAAAAGGGATTTTTGTTGATTTCATTTATGTTTTATGACATTTGGGTTCATTTTACTCTTTGTGTTTTGTAATGTGTTTATAGTATTGTTCTGTTTTGTTGTAAAGCACTTTGCAACTGTGTTTTGAAAGGTGCTATATAAATTGAGTATAATGTATTATTATAAGGCCAGCATATAAAGCCAGTGGATGAACATCTTTATTACATTCTTTTCACAAAATATGTAATTTAATGTCTACTTACTAGCCTTTTCCAGTTATTTCAGTCGCATTTCATGGTCTTCTTCAGCGGATGGAGTTTGCTTGGTTGTGATAGAGATGGCTCAGTTGTCATCATGTAAGTAAGTATGGAACTTCACTGTGCCATCTCCATGACAACTGAGAAAACGTCATCCACTGAGGAAGACCATGATGTAAGTCTCTAGTAAGAAAACCCTGAGAAAAAGTTTTTTTCAAACTAATTTTTTCAATTATATTTTTTGGATATATTTTATTTTTGCAGTTTGTTGGGAGCTATATAAGTTCAAACCAAAATTATTTTGAAAACGTTTAAAGAAACAATAATTTTCAGAGATTTTTTAGATTTCTGTCTTCACCAGAGTTGAAGATAGATACCGCTTATTCTGTACTGAGCATGGACAGTGATATAGAGTCAACAGTTAATAAGAACATCCCCCATAATGTTGTACTGTTCGCTTGAGTGCTCACTAAGTTGCCTAAGTGCCCTAGTGCCCTTTAGACAAAATTGATTCTGTAAATCAGTTTCACGGATTTATTGCATCCTTTTCAAATAAACAGCTTTAGCGACGCAGGCCTTGTTAACAGCCACGTTTTTCTGGTTGTTGTGCATCATTTCAAAGAAAAAGTGTTATTTTCAACAGAGCTGTGTATATCTCAGCTGTACAACTCCTTTTTTAGTTTGTACAAAGACGCTGGCATAACTTAACTATGAACTCCGATTTCCATATTAAAAGTCAACACAGGTTATGCTCCAAGTTCTTTTTTAGATTTATGTAAAAGAACAAATTCTCCTTTTCATCAGCTTTACACTGTTTTATCAATCCTAATCATCACAGGTAGTTGGAGTGGCTCAAGCTATCAATAAGAAATGTGGGGAGGATGGGGCCTTCACTGACCAGGATGAAAAGGTTAGTAAAGCCCCCAAATACACTGCATGTAAAACCTCAGTCCGTCTTTGTCCACCTGTATGTGCCCTCCCTCATATCATCCGTCATGTTCCCCTTCTCTTTCTCCTCCTCCTTCATTGATTTATCTTTTTTCCATGCAACAGTCTGGCTTCTTTTCATTCCTTCCCCCCCGTGTTTGTAGGTGGTGTTCACATGTTGTTCTCTTCCTCTCCACCAGGACTTCTCGGCCTATTTGGCCTTCTCAGGCATCGTCCTGCACAACGCTCAGCTCTACGAGACATCGCAGCTGGAAAACAGACGCAATCAGGTGGGTGCCGCAGTGTTTCCGAAGGCATGTGTGCGCTCATAGACACGACTCTGAATGAGATGTATTTGTGTGCCTGTGTGTGTGTGTGTGCAGGTGCTGTTGGACCTGGCCAGTCTCATCTTTGAGGAGCAGCAGTGTCTGGAGGTTTTACTGAGGAAGATCGCAGGAACCATCCTGTCTTTTATGCAGGCCCAGGCTTGTACAGTCTTCATCGCTGACGAAGACTCCATGGTTAGCATACACACACACACACACACACACACACACACACATAAACATGCTGAAATGCCCATAACATGTTCATACTTGTCTGTGTAGTGCACCAAATCCATCTTCATAGCATGAAAACTTTATGATGATGATGATGATCCTTTTACAATGGATTGTTTGAATGCAGTAGAATAGAAGGACAGGATTATTTTAAGACGGGAACGAAACTAGAGCTGCATAATTAATGACAATATTATCGAAATCCAGTGCAATATCCAAATCACAAGAATCTGAAGTTTTGTGATACAGGTAAAATGTGTGACAAACAGCCTTATAAGGAACTACTGTAGTGCTGCAGATGTAAGTAATGTTTGTTTGGTACAGACCCAAACAAATGTCACATTGTTTTTTTAAGTGGAAATTACATTTATGACACAAAAATGATTATTCCTACTAATAGTGAACCATATTGCAATATCTGTCAAAATAATCGCAATATGATGTTTTTACCATATCGTGCAGCCCTAAACAAAACCAACCAATTAGAGCCGAGAAAGATAGTTGATTGTTAGGTCTCATTCCCAGGTCTTCAAATAATGACGCTTTGGGTTGGTGGCTTAGTATAGTTGATTATGTTGTTGTTGTTAAATAAGATTTAACAATAAACTATCTTTCTTGGCTCTGATTGGTTGTTTTTGTTCAGGCCCAGTGGATTCTTTTTAATGTCATTACAAACACTAGGAGGAGCAAGAGTAACCAGATTTTTTCACAGATTATCCATCTTATGTTATTCTGTCAGGATATAGTGAAAGTTTCAGCAAATATGACAAAAAATGATTTTTATAAAAGTTACCTACTGCAGCTTTAAACCCATGTGTTGCACATTTTCTTCAGCAACAGAATTAGTTCAGATTTCATTAGTGAAGCAAAAAGTCTTAACTCTTGCATTACTATTGCAACAGTAGATAATGTGATTTAAAACACTATTTTCTCACTTGCAAAAAACATTCTTTCTCCTTTGGTAACATGTGACACATTTAGAAAAGTGCTTGAGTTTAATAGTGTTCAGTCCCAGTTTTGTGGCATGAACTGTATATAAATTACAGCCACTATTCCTTTCTTTACTTCCATAGAGAAAATATGAGCTGTGTGTATATAAATAAGTACTGAATACTGAATGAGTTATTAGCACAAACGAAGACAAAGTGTGAGGGATGAACATATCTTGGAGCAATGGTGTGCATACATTATGCTCTACAGAGAAGCGAGAGAACAAGCTGTCAAGACAAAATGAAAAAGTGACAAATTCATGGAGTGGAAGAGTGAAGGCAAAGTGAAATGAGTGAATGATAATGATGTGAAGGAACAGAAGTGGAGTGGCAATATATTGAAGTAAACAAAATAATCCTCTTAAGCTGTACTGTCAAGCAAAAAAAATATATTATGTTTTTTCTCTTTTCATTTGTTTCCTATCATATTTCAAAACGCTGTGGGAGTTTGCATATCATCAAACTTAGTTTGCCTCCATCTGTGACTCTAGATTAACTAAAGTTGGGGCTTTTTGCCTTTATTGGCTAGGACAGCTGAAGATGACATGCAACAAAGGGCCACAGGTCGGATTTAAACCCGTGGCCGCTGCAGCAAGGACACAGCCTTGGTACATGGGGCGCCAGCTCTACCAGGCGAGCTATAGGGCGCCCCAATTGTTAATGAATCACAGTAATGTTAGAATACCTATTACTACGCTATGTTATCAGCTTGTTTTATCAAGCAGCAACAGGTGAGATGTTTGCGTACAGAAAACGTGTGAGCATCAATTTCAGGATGTGATAAATTGATGTTTTTAAATAGTTACAATAATGTGTTTAATCAGATTAGGTCCAGTGTGTAACATTGAGGAGGATCAATTGTCAGAAATGGAATATGATATTCATAGGTATGTTTTCATAGGTATGTTTTCATAGGAATTGTTGTGTTTTTCTTACCTCAGACTGAGTCGTTTTTATCTACACGGTTGCCTTCCGTGGAGTCCGCCATGTTGAACCGCCATGTTTCTACAGTAGCCCATAACAGACAAACCAAATTCTTACCTTAGTTAGGGCCTTTTGTGTTTTTTGATAGTTTCGCAACCAGAGTAGTTTCTCCTACACACTCTTCACAGCACGTTCTCATTCCCAGGATGCAAATACAAACATGAGCGGTGTTCTGTTAGTTGCAATCTAACTTCACTGCTAGATGCCACTAAATCCTACACATTGGAGTGTATAGGATTGACCTGAAGTTGAAGTGTTGACCATTTTAGCAAAAATGGCCGTGCTATTAAATACAATACATCTGAGAAGCAAGTGAATGATAAATGAAACAGAATCTCAGAATATCATGACTAGCATAACCTTTAAAAGTCTTAGTAAAGCCACAGCAGAACATATATATATTTGATCATATTTTTACTTATTTTCTTTTTTCTTTTTTTCTTCATTTCTTTTTCATGAGCTATACAGTAAAACATTTGACATGAAGCAGTTTATCTAAAGGTAGCATGTCAAAATAAGCAGCTGCTTAATTAGTAAATGGTACAACAATGGAAGGCTGCTTTGTCTCCCTTGAAACGAAATAAAATGAAGTTTAGCAGAAGGAAATGAATAGCAGCTTTCAGCAGCATGAGTTTCTGTTCTGCAAATCAAGAAGTTTTATATACAAAGCAGACAGAACAGTAGCTGGCCGCGTTTTAATGTAAATAGGGTCTATACTTCTCACTGACTGTGTCTTTCACTTAACTGACTCACTCACACACTATTAGAGTCCTCTGTGGGCATTAACATTTGTTTTGGCTTCTCCTCCTCAGGGGCGTTCAGTGCCTGAAAAACACACACTGACACACTTCACACTCACACACAGAAAACATGCACACCGGAAAAGGAAGCAAATTAACTGTCGTACGTGGAGGGAGATTGATAGATGAGCTTGGTTAGAGTATTCCCACATCTAGATAGGTGCTGATGCTTCTGAAAATCTCATGTATGCACAGGAACTCTATTCTACAATTGATATTTAAACATTATTTTGATCCAAACAGTCCAAAAATTAATACACATTAACATAACAGACAGGAAATGTGGAAGTACCACAGCTAATATACATGTTTTTGTCAATATGCACTTCAAGACTTAAGTATACTTCAACAGTGGAAGCACTCCAGCTGCCACAGGCCTATGTTGGTTGTGGTCAGTGATACAGCCTCTGGTTTTCACTGCTCTTTATTTTTCCATGCCTAAGACAGTCCACATGAGCAAGCGAAACATCAGATAAAGCTTTTGGCAGAGCAGCAGATTTTCAGGTCCTCCATTTTCTGGTTGGGTATAGGTGGTCTTAAATTACTAGAACACTTATACCTGGCACATTTTAAAGGCAACTTGAAGTTACTTTTGAATAATAGATCCAAATTGGTCTCTTTTTGTTTTCTTTGTTTTTGTTCCGTCCTATTCCCGAATATTGTAGGAAGCAGCACCCAGGAAACTGATCTGGATGAGGCTCAGTCCTCATTTGTCATTTGACCACTTCAACTTTCCTGATCTATTTACCAGGAAAACCACTGTGTTGGAATCTATATACTGATTTATCACAGTCTGCTTGTTAGTGCATACCAACAGCCTGGGAACCAGATGGATCTGCCAAGGTCAACCATGTTTCATTTGCTCTGGCAGATGCGTCTGGCCACCCTTCCATTCAAACTGAATTCCCCCCGTCCTCGATCTGGATGGGCAACTGCTTATTTAACATAAGGTGGGTTTTATATGATGATTGACAGATGAGTGTCAACGGTACAGTTGAGAGATGATGTGTCCATCTACTCGGAACATGGTCCGTCGTCGAGTGCTTGACAATTGCTTTTAGTTGTGCATTTAAGAGGGATTTCCCATTCCTCAAAAAAATCATTCTTAGGGTTTTCACACTTTTTCACACATTTTAATTCCATCATTTTATTTCAACTTTTCCTCAACTAAAAGCGAGTGCCACTTTATCACAAACTCACGAAAGAGGAAACATATCTGTCTCTTTTTGTGCTCGCTGTATTTATGGAGTAAGTGGAGTGGGAGTGCGTGGCGGTCAAGATGACGACAGCAAGTTAAGAGCTCTGCCACAGTTTTGGACCACAAACAGCAGTGCTTTGGAAGGAAGGTGGTGATTCAGGGTCATTTTCGTGAGGAGAAAATGACACAGCTAATATACTCGCAAAGAGACTGTCCACCCAGAAAATGCAGGGTTCCACAAGGCCTCCTTGGTTAGGGCATTGGCAATAAAAGAACATTGAAAGAAACTCTCAGGGTTTAGCCTCTTTGGGTTACTTACCATAGGCAGACTTTTTTTTTTTGCTAAAAGGAAGTATTTATTCTCTCAGACCTTTCTTGGTCATGCAGTCATTGGTAGTCCTAGACCCACCAATGGCTGCATGACTAGTTGCTTTTCAGAGAACTGCCCCAGTTATTTAATCCATTTCAATTGGTGTCGGTTGTGATCAGTTTGGAGATGTGTGAGTCAGAAATTTTTTTTGACCTCCTAAACAGAAAAACTGTCTGTTGGTTAACTGAGGAAAAATCCAGACAGAGGTTTCATCATGTCACTGAAAGCATTAGGAGTGGGATTATGTAAACATTTTACAGATGGCTATTATTTGCGGATTTAATGGGATGGTCAAAACATATTATACTTAACATGGTAATGGTGAAGTCTAATGGACTTCCTGGCCAGAATGTTTTTCTCACATAAGTATATTATCTAAAGAGTAGTAGTAGAATTTATTTGTAACCAACCGAAATGTGAAAGTCATCAATGAAAATCTATAGAGGTTTGTAAATGATGTTCAGCTTTTCAGTGAGATCAAGGTTTATTACAACTTGAGTATCATTTTTGTAGACAGTTATGTATGCTAAACAGACCTTAAGTTTAGTTCAGTTTGCCTGAATATAAGATAACCTTGATTTTTCAACACCTTTTTTGGAAAAAGACTTCATTAGACACAA